GGGTGGGGGCCGGCTTAAAGCGAGCGGGCGGGCCCGGGCGCGATCGGGCGCGTGGGGTCGCGATGTGCCAACGGATCCCGGGCGCGCTCCGGCCCGTGCGTCTGCGCGGGGCGGCCTGTTTGCCCACCGGCTTTCGGGCGCGACACGGGGCCCGAGGGGCGGGGGCTGACCGAGGTGCACTTGGGCCGGCGTGCCGACCACACCCCGGGCAGCTCACCTTCTCCACCTCCTACCATCTCTCGCTCTTTCCTCTCCCATAACGCCCCCCCCCCCTCAAACACGTTTTGCCTCTTCCGAGTCGGGAGAACGAAGACAAGCATGCCAAGCCCCACCTTCGAGCATGAGCGCGACGCGCTGGTCGCCGAACTCGCCGCCGTACGCGCTCGGGCCGTCTGCCTTTCCCTTCCGCCCTGGTGCCCCCCGTCCGGTCTCCTGCTGACTCTCCGCCCCGCACACACACACACACACACAGCTCCTCGTTCAGACATCAGAGAAGATGGACGCCGTGACCGGAGCCCTGCGGAGACACAACAACCGGTCGGCCAGCTCGACGGCCTCCTTCTCGCACCGGTGGCTGGACTTTGTGGCCGGCGAGGGGACCGTCCCAACCGAGGAGGCTGACCGGGTGGCCGCCGTGACGGCGCTCAAGGCCCTGCTTGACCAGAACCCCGGCGGGCGTGGCGACGAGTACAATTGACCGATGGCCCCGCTTCGAATACTCCACCTCCCTCCCCCCCTCTGGGGCTGTTTGTCCTTCCCTTTCTTCAATGTGCATTGCGGGCCGGCGGGCGGCCATGTATCGCGGCGGGCCAGCGGCAAGACCACCGCACACGCCGGGGGTGGGGGAGGAAATCGCGAGTGCGCGGACCTCCCTGCCTCCCCCCGGCCCTGGGCCGTGCCTGGCTACACCGGCTCCGGCGGCGGCCCAGACATCAACTGGCTGTTGATGGCATTCAACTGGTCGTGGATCTCCTGCACCCGGCGAGCGAGGCCGGCCTCGTCGGTCGGCAGGTCGGCCGGCCAGTCGGCCGGGGCCAAGTCCAGGCGGGAGGACGGCACCCCGGCCGGGGCCAAGTCCATACGGGAGGACGGTACCCCGGCCAGGGCCAACTCCTCGCCACTGTCGATGCCCTCGCGCGAGGAGGACAGCCCGGTGAAGGAGTCCGACACCGAGGACAGGAAGAGGAACTCCATGTCGCTGTCCTGGGCCGGGTCCTCGCGATCTGGGCCCTCGGGGATGGGCGCCAGCCGCGGCGACCCGATGATGGCGGCCTCTTGGCGCCGGGGGCCGATCGCCGGCGGGGGCTTTCCACGTGTGCACGCGCGCGTGTCACAGAGCAGCAAGTCAATATACGCCTGCGCAGGTGGCGCCAGCCGAAGGGCAAACCCGCAACATGGACATGACCGCGCGCCTTCCGGCGGCGTGGGCGAGCAAGTGAACCGCGAGGGGGGGAGTTGCATGGTACGCACTGGCGGCAGAGGGGTGCCCTTGCCATCGGCGAATGGGCCGCCGCCAATGGCGCGCCCTCCGGCCGGCACATCGCCGGGGTAGTATTTCCGCAGGTCGGCGAAAGACTTGGTGCCCGAGCGCCGGGCCCCCTCAGCAGACAGGAGGCTCCAGGACCCGGGCCCATCCTCGCCGATGGTCAGCCGGTCCTTGAACAGGGGCGCCAGCACCCCCGGGCGCTGGGTCACCGCCACCAGGGTAGTCTGCGCGGCGGGCAGGGCCGCCTGCATGGCCCGCTGGAAGAGGGCCGCCTCGACGTCCAGGCTGACAGCGCTGGTGCCTACATGGCATACGCCAGGTGGTGACGACCGGCGGCCGGGGGAAGGGACGAGTAGGGAGGGCCGGTGTGTGAGGGGATGCGCTTGTGTGGCGAGGGCGCCCCGTGGGCCGACCCGGTGGGCGATACGTACACTCGTCCATGATGGCGAAGAGGGGCCGGTGGTAGTACACCCGGGCGATGTTGAGCTGGGCAGGACAACCAAGCGGCACAGCGGGGTCAGTGTTTGTTCGATGCGCGTGGAGCAGCGCGGCAGCACCACCATGAGGCAATTGGGGAGAGGGCGGGCGGGGGCGGGGGCGGGGGGGGGGGGGGGGGGGGGGGGGAGGGGGGGTGGGGGGGGGGGGGGGGGGGGGGGCGGGGGGCGGGGGGGGGGGGGGGGGGGGGGGGGGGACCAGGTGTCAGAACAAAGGGGTCATGTGTCCCCCGGACGGGGGGGGGGCTTGGCGTACTCGCTGGCGCTCGCCCCCGGACAGGACATTCCCCCACGTCCGGACACTGTCAAAGCCGCCCTCGCGCTCCGGCAGGTAAGCCAGGAAGGCCGCGGTCAGGATCTCCTGCAGGTATGCGTCCGTGAAGCCCTCTGGCAATGGGACGCGGTACCCGGCGAGGTGGGTCATGGGGGGTTAGCCAGAACGGAAGGGGGCCCGGGTGTTGTCCGCACAGCGGGGGGCAGGGGCAGGGGGCAGGAAGGCGCTTCGCACTCTTGACCATGTCATGCCGCGTGTCGGGGTAGATGATCCTGTCTCGCACGGGAGGGCAGGCACACGGTTGGGGCCCCGGCAGCAGGGCAGACAGGCCCCGAGCCCGGGGAGGGGGGCACAGGAAGGGAGGTGTGAGAAAGATGCCGCGTGCCGGGGGCAGGAGGCCCGGCCGGCCGGCAGGAGTCGAGACACCCGCCAGGGCCGGGCCGAGGAGAGCCAGAGCGATCGGACAGGACCGGTGGCAGATGGCTCAGGCCGCCGGGAGCGGGCGCGAGATGGCGGACAAAAAAAGACGCCGATCGAAAGCGAGGGCCATGCCGGGCCAGGAGCCCGGGGGGCGGGGCGGGGCGGGGGGGGGGACGACGCACTGATCGCGCAGGTTGCCCGGACACAGGTACGGCTTCTGGGTGACGAAGAAAACATCGCGGGGGTGGGGCGTGATCATGAGCCCGTCTGGGTTTGGGTGTACGCTTTGTGAGTGAACGCAATTCCGACCTAAATTCCACAGGGTCTCGGCCGCAATTGTGCTATCCCGGAACTAGGGTTGAGGCAAATGTCTTATGGCGCGATAGTCGACCAGAACCGCTTGCCCTTAACCGAGTTGCCGGCTACCGTACCGTACACGGGCCAGAGGCCGCTGAGCACTCGCAGGAGGGACGTCTTGCCCGAGGCATTCGGGCCGGTGATGAGCAGGTGCCGCCCTTGGCGAATGTCCAGAGTGAGGGGCTGTGTGCGGGTGTGGGTATGCGCATGGATGGAGGGTGTCGGCAAGCCGCGGTCGGACCCGACATGAAGGCATGTGTCAGAGCAAGGCGCTGGGCGAGTGGGATGTGCGTGTGCGTGGCCGGCTGCGGGTTCGGGTGCGTGGCCGGATCCGACTGCGGGCCCGGGTGCGGGGAGGGGATGGTGCTGTGCGCCGGCCTGCCGGCGCTGGCCGGCAGCGGGCGCACCTCGATGAGCAGCTCGCCGGTCGGGGTGACCACCGGCACGCGCTTCAGGCTGTAGTGGATCTCCCGGCCGAGGGCGTCCTCCTGGGGGGCGGTGGGCTCTCCGACGAGGGGGCCGGCGGCGGTGATGACTTTGTCGGCGGACTTGGCGATCACCTCGGCCGGGGGGAGGCCCGAAGGACAATCGGCCGGGGACCGGGCGGGCGAGTCGACGGCGGCCCCGGGGCCGACTTCGGCGGCGCCGGCGAGCACCGACCCGGTGGCACGCCCGGCGGCTCCGGCCCCGGCGCCGGGGGCCGTATCGTGGCAGCTGCCGGATCGCCCGGCTAGCCGGTCCGGGTCCGATCGGTCCAGGACCAGGACCCGGCCGCGTCTATTGCTCATGGGGAAGGGCCCGGTGGCGAGGGACTGCGGAGGCGGGGGCGGGGGCGGGGGCGGGGGCGGGGGCGGGGGCGGGGGCGGGGGCGGGGACGCGGCGCGGCGTCAGCACGAGGCGCGGGGCACAAAACAAACTGGCGAGGGTAGGGCGGGCACGCACCCGCACTGGCCGGTCGGCAGCCACCTCCTCCAGGACGGTGAGCAGGCTGTTGACGCGCAGGGACCGGGCGTACAGCTCGGCCAGGTCCTGATAGGCGTACATGAGCCGGCCCCCGGCGTCGGCCAAGTTGGACATCATGTTCTTGCTGGTCATGTAGGCTTCGGTCCGGGTGGCGGCATTCTCGGCGGAGGGGGCGGAGGCGGTGGCCAGGCCGGCCACCAGGCCGGCGGCCACGTCGCCGGCCAGGCCGGCCAGTGGCCGGTCCTCTGTGCCGCCGGAGGCCGACAGGGCGGCCATGGTGCCGGCGGCGGCGGCCGTGGCCGCCGCGACTGCCACATCGCTGGTCGACCGGCCGCCGGGGGCCGACGAGAAGAACACCGGGATGGCCTGGGCCACCAGCCCGAGGGCGGTCCAGATGTACCGGACGAGGAGGTTCTCGGTGAAGTGGAACCGGATCCGCTGGATGTGGAACCTGCCGGGGGGGGGCGCGTCGTCGGGTCCCGCCGCCCCGGCCGAGGCTCCGCTCCCCTGGGCGGCACAGACGATGAGCGTGCGGGTGGGCATGTGCGGGTGGGCATGTGCGGGTGGGCATGTGCGGGTGGGCATGTGCGGGTGGGCATGTGCGGGTGGGCATGTGCGGGTGGGTGTGGATGCATGGCCGTGGGCCGATGCCGCGTGCATGGGAGACGCAGCCCGCCAGACAGGGGGGGGGGGGGCGGGCCAGCAACAGGCGCACCGATGCAGGACCTGCTGGACGCGGCGCCAGGCCTGGGCCACGGTCCGGCGCTCGGCCGGCTCGCCGGAGTAGAAGGCGATCTCCTCGGCGTGGGTGGCCAGGCGCGAGTAGGCATGGCGGAAGTCGCCCTCGGCCCCGGAGAGGGCCACATGGTGCGCGGCAAAGTCCGGCGCCGAGACATGGATGACGGCCGCCGTGAAGAGGTACGACCACCACATGAGCCCGAAGGGGGTGGCCCCGAGGGAGGTCTGGCGGCCCGGGGCGGCGGGCCGGCATTGTGGATGTGCGTTCGGTCAGCATGCGGGCCGGCGAGGTGCCAGTGTGCCTGTCGGGGTGGGGGTGGGGGGGGGGGGGGGGGGGGGGGGGGGGGGGGGGGGGGGGGGGGGGGGGGGGGGGGGGGGGGGGGGGGGGGGGGGGGGGGGGGGGGGGGGGGGGGGGGGGGGGGGGGGGGGGGGGGGGGGGGGGGGGGGGGGGGGGGGGGGGGGGGGGGGGGGGGGGGGGGGGGGGGGGGGGGGGGGGGGGGGGGGGGGGCGCAGGCGCCGAGGGCGGTGCAACGGCCGCGGCGGGACCCCCGGGCGAAGGGGGCCGGCCGGCGCACCTCGAGCTTGCGCGCGAAGAGCCACATGTCGAACAGGGGCTTGGCCACGTCGCCGTACACCGACGAGAGGGAGTCGGCCAGGGCAACCACATCGCCGACCAGGCGCTGCTCCATGGTGGCGGCGGCGGTGGCGGCGGCGGCGGCCGCGCGGCGGCGCCCGGCCGGCTTGGCCGGGTCGCTGGCCGGCCCTTTGGCGTCGGGCCGGGGGGCCGCGTGCCCGGGCCGGCCGGCGACCGGGGCCGCGGCCCCGGCCCCGGCCCCGCACAGGCGGTCATCCAGCTGGGTCACCGCGTAGTACACCTGCCCCGACATGTAGAGCCCCTGCAGGTGGTCGGTCAGGAGCTTGCGGAACTCCGAGGCCAGGCGCGATTGGAAGAAGCGGATCTGCGTGACGGACACGGCGAGCATGCGTGTGTGTGTGTGTGTGCGTGTGTGCGTGTGATGGTGGCTGTGCGTCAGGGCGCGGACTGAGGGCAGGGGGGTGGGAGGGAGGAGAGGCAAAAAAAAAAAAGCCCGCCGGCCGGAGGGCGCGAGGGGAGCAGGGGGGCGGCGCACACTGGCGTTCACCAGGGCCGCCGGGATGCCGACCCCCAGCCACTGGGCCAGGCCGATGCCGACCTCGCGCGGGCGCCGCGCCACCAGCCCCCGGACCAGACGCCCATCCAGGCCGGCCACATACACACTGAGGGCCGTCCGGGCGGCCAGGCTGCCGGTCAGCAGGGCCAGCAGCAGGGTCGACCGGGAGAAGAGCCCCGGGAAGACGATCTGCAGCAGCCGCAGGGGGGAGGATGGCCGCGGGGCGGCCGGCTGCCCGGGGCCCGGGGCGTCCGGGGCCGCTGGCTCCTTGGCGCCGGCGTCCGGTTGCATTGAGTCGCGCTGTCTCTTGCGCATGTATCGCCTGTGTGTGTGTGGGGGGGGGGGGCGGCGGCGCGAGTGCACGGCCACCGGGGCGACGCCCGACAGGGGCCGGCAGGAAGCGGGGCAGCATGCCGTCAGTACGAAGGGGCGCAGCATCTCGGCACGAAGGGGCACGCACTGCCACACAAGGCGGACCAGCACCACGAAGGAGATGATGGTGCGCGGGTGCTGGGCCACCCAGTTGAGGGCCCGGCCGGTGGGGGTCCGGGCGAAGGCGCGCAGCAGGCGCGACACCCGGGCCCCGGATCCCCGGGGGAAGGCCAGGGCCATGCCGCCGGCACGTCCCGGCCGGGGAATCACCAGCACCCGGGCCCGGGCTTGCAGGGCGCGCACCAGCCGCCCAAGGAGCCGGGCCGGCCCCGAGTCGGCGCTGGCGAGGAGGACCTCGGCCGCCATGTGTCGGCGATGGAGGCGGGGGGGGGGGGGGGGGG